CTCACTCACTATAAACACCATTAACCCCTGAAATACCAATATCCCCTCACTCACTACAAACACCATTAACCCCTGAAATACCAATATCCCCTCACTTACTATTAACACCATTAACCCCTGAAATACCAATATCCCCTCACTCACTATAAACACCATTAACCCCTGAAATACCAATATCCCCTCACTCACTATAAACACCATGATCCCCTGAAATACCAATATCCCCTCACTATAAGTGTTACTATTAACCTCTGAAATACCAATAATACCTCACTCTACTATAAACACATAACCCCTGGAAATACCAATATCCTCACTACTGGTAAACACCATAACCCCCTGGAAATACCACATCCTCACTCTTACTATAAACAATCTTATTAACCCCTGAAATACCAATATCACTTACCACCACTATAAACATTATTAACCCCTGAAATACCAATATCACCTCACTCACTATAAACACCATTAACCCCTGAAATACCAATATCCCCTCACTTACTATAAACACCATTAACCCCTGAAATACCAATATCCCCTCACTTACTATAAACACCATTAACCCTTGAAATACCAATATCCCCTCACTCACTATAAACACCATTAACCCCTGACATACCAATATCCCCTCACTCACTATAAACACCATTAACCCCTGAAATTCCAATATCCCCTCACTCACTATAAACACCATTAACCCCTGAAATACCAATATCCCCTCACTCACTATAAACACCATTAACCCCTGAAATACCAATATCCCCTCACTCACTATAAACACCATTAACCCCTGAAATACCAATATCCCCTCACTTACTATAAACACTATTAACCCCTGAAATACCAATATCCCCTCACTCACTATAAACACTATTAACCCCTGAAATACCAATATCCCCTCACTTACTATAAACACTATTAACCCCTGAAATACCAATATCCCCTCACTAACTATAAGCATTATTATCCCCCTGAAATACCAATATCCCCTCACTCACTATAAACACCATTAACCCCTGAAATACCAATATAACCTCACTCACTATAAACATTATTAACCCCTGAAATACCAATATCACCTCACTCACTATAAACATTATTAACCCCTGAAATACCAATATCACCTCACTCACTATAAACACCATTAACCCCTGAAATACCAATATCCCCTCACTTACTATAAACACCATTAACCCCTGAAATACCAATATCCCCTCACTTACTATAAACACCATTAACCCTTGAAATACCAATATCCCCTCACTCACTATAAACACCATTAACCCCTGACATACCAATATCCCCTCACTCACTATAAACACCATTAACCCCTGAAATTCCAATATCCCCTCACTCACTATAAACACCATTAACCCCTGAAATACCAATATCCCCTCACTCACTATAAACACCATTAACCCCTGAAATACCAATATCCCCTCACTCACTATAAACACCATTAACCCCTGAAATACCAATATCCCCTCACTTACTATAAACACTATTAA